AGTAGCTGTTCTACTATTCGGGCCAACCAATTCCATTCCGTAAATGTAAAGGGAGAGCATCACTCCAGTCAAGCCAAAACCGACCATGAAGCGAAGAACCGCGAATAACGGAATAGAATGAACAAAAGCTGAAGGAAAGCCGGTAATCAACTGAAAAATTACAATGAATCAAGGTAAACAAATACAAGTGATTCAGTTTAAGCCTGCCCGTCAAGGCGTGAAATTCAAACTTTCCACCCCGAAGGATCTCATAGACCTCATTTGCCCGTTGGATCCTATAAAAGTAAAAATTAACATTGCCAGGAGCCCATTGCTGATTAATGACTAAGCCGTGGTTGCGGCCATCTTACCATGATTGCATTGCAGATGAAGATACATTTCTTTCGGCCCCAGGCGTCTGAAATCATCCCGGTCACAAGTGAACCTACCAACATTCCAGCAAAGAAACAGGACTGTATCGTTGCACCCAGGAACGCGCGGTCACAAATCAAGTTCCACTTAAACATAAATGGAAAGAAGGGAAAGGAAATGGTTATTTGATTGAAATAATTCTCGGTCGTCTTTCTGTCCGTCTGCCTTCATGTTAGTTCTTCGCCTTCCTCTTTGTCCGTCTGTTCATCAGATCATTTGCCTGTTTGTCTGCCCGTGTATATGCTCGTCTCTCCTCCTACCTATCCGTTTGTTTGCCTGCCTGCGCTCATGGCCACCCGTGCATCATTGGCCTGACTTAAACCCCTGTTCACTCCTCCTCCCCCACCCCCCAGAAACGTCTTACCTCAGACACGGTGCTCTGAAGAGGTCCTATAAATTCGTAAGCGTGACATCCATCACAACATTTCCTTGCCTCGCACGTGACATTTGGTGTCACACACTGAAACTTAGGAATACCAAAACCAAACACTAACAAAGAGAACTGGTTTGTTACTGGAAAAACAAGCAATAAAGTGCAGAAATATAAGATTTTTTGGTATTTTCCAAAGGAGGACACGTGTTCAAAAATATCGTCAAACTCAAATGAGCGGCTCTTCTCCTCTGTTACGGAACTGTCGGCCATTGTTCTAAAATAAGACGAACAAAGGCGAGTTATTCTCAGAGGTCAAGGTGAAAATCGCGGGAATTATGATCTGAGTCAATAAATGATTAACTACATATGGACCCTCGTTAAAAAACAACCTCGCAAGCCCTAGCGGTAAAAGCTATTCTTCTGAGAAAACCATTGTCCCTCTTGTTTCCTCTGCGGCCGTTGTTTGATTTCGTCAGGCAACGAGCTCTCTGATAGAGGAGAAACCAAATGACGGCTGCGGAGGAGACCATGATCTCTCTCGCACGCTTTGCGTGACGAAAGAGATTAGGAAACCTGTGCCTAAGATAATATAAGAAAGTTGCGTCGATGGAAGGAAAGAATCATATGTGTCTTTTTTCCCGCAGCTCACTAAAAAAACGCCACTCTGCAGATCAGCCGAGTTTTAAAAATCAATTAAAATACTTCTATGTAAAGTACGGCGTCTCATTCCAGTCAAAAGAGATACTTATCGGTTCTACTGTTTTCTCAAGCCAAGCTTAGCTGCGAATAACATCGGTTATGCATCAGCTTTAATTTGTTCGAAGAACTTAACTTGTGCCGGATTTACCATTTGTCAAGAGAAAAACTGTAATTCAGCATTGGAATAATTCCAGCCCATCTTAATCAGTTTGGGGAGATCCACAATGGAATTTTATTTTGACTCATGTGAGTTGCGGAAGCTCAACCTGGTCTGAATGTTTTCACCGGGCATTCTTTTGTTTGGAGCAGGAGATCGTTAATTAGAACCCGAAATAAAGTAGGTCGCGGAAACCAGAATGGCGAGGTGTCTCCGTGGTAAGTTGATTACTCATACTAATAAATACACATTACGTAGGTTTGAGATTAAAGAAGGTAACAAGGCTTGATAACAGTACTAACCTTAATTTCAAGGGTTCAAATTTCCGAACCAAAGTCTGAGAGATTTTTATTCTGTAATACGCATTCAGTTGCCTACAAGTAACGTTTATGTCTTGCAACTTGCTGCGTGTCAGAAAAGTATGCGATATACATTATGCAAAGAGGTATCAGATGTAACTTTCGTCTGATCGCATTGTTTTTGTGGAGAGCTATTTTCAACATATTAAGTGTCAAAGCCGGCAAAGGATACGTTCTTCTTCCTCGTTTCGAATTGCAAGCCTGCTTCCAACTTGGAGATTTTGGCTCCTTCTTTATCCATTTTTTTTTTCTTTCTCTTCCCACTAATTGCTTCTTGTTGCAGTGTGCATCAAAAAGCCTTCCTACGCCTTCTCATCTTTGTGATTCACTCATCTACGGTGGCAAAAATGTGTAAGAGTAATCTCGCCAAGGTCACGTGCTCACTTGGCTGCCAAAATTTGACTCCGCTCGGGAACAAGCTGGAATGTCTAGGGCACCATAAGTCATTCCCTGAGGCTCTGATATCAATTGACATGCACGAACTTATTTAAGTTTGTACAAATCAACTGACAACCTTCTTAAAACTACCAGAAAACTTTGCTAAAATTATATTGATGTATTTTGTTTGTTATTCATTGAAATTGAGTTAGTGTACTAAAAAAAGATAAAGTTAGCCTTCAGATACAATAAGTGGTCTAAATTCTCTTCAATTTTACATACATTTTTTTGCTTCATTTTTTTTCTCCTTTATTTTCTCACTGGTTTTTTTTCTTATACTTAGAAGCAGAAACAAATTTGTCACCGCTGTGTAGTTACGCAACAAGGTGATATACAACAATGCATGGTAATCTCGGCGCGCCATAATGACAGCTGCCTAAGATGATCTGGGTCGAGTTGCATCAGAACGAGGCATCGAGGGCCACTATTTTTAGTGTTTACTCATGCTAATAAGAAAATCATAGTCGAGTTGTTCGTAGTCTGGTTAAGGTAACCCAGAGTTAGTGTGAAATCTGATTTCAGGGCTGAAAGCTTTAAAAGAAAATTCAGTCTAATTTTGTTGTCTACAATCTGATAACAGGATGTTCTAAAAGGAATAGAAAAAATTATCCTTTATTAAGGCTTTTGAACAGAGGAATAAAGAATCTCATGATGCCAGGATAAAATTGAACCATGGGTTAGCGCTAGTTGGCCTTCAAACAACTGGGCCCATGCCTAAAAACTGCTGTGTTTCAGAGTGTACAAAGAAGGTTTACGAAGAGAATGGAATGAAAATATCTTTCCACAAGTTCC